GGGAAATCCGCCGCCCCCGAGGCCCCCCCCAGCCTCTCCCGCTGGCTCTACAACCGGACTGACACCGTGCTCCCGGGCTTAGTGAAACAAGGGGACCCTCAGCAAGTCATTGAGTACTCTCTGGCCCTCATCACCATCTTAAATGAGGTAAAGCAGTGCTCTCTGCCCAAGAGGGGCCCAGAAGCCTTGTCAGCACCAGTGATGTTCTTGGGCCAGGTTTTGTGCAGCGATGTAAGGCTAATGCTGCAGTTTTTCATGTAAATCGGCATGTGTGTGTGCTGGGGCTGGGCTGGAGCTATTTTCGTGCATCAAAGAGTAACAAGCTCCAGACACACAATGACCAGGGAAAGCAGAGGGGCTGCAATGTTAAACAGGAGTCCCAGAGAAGGCAGTGGCCTGGACGTCTCCCATGCAGCTTGCTGGTTTTCCCTCATAGTCAGATAGTTTATCCTCTTTACTGCCAGCTGCAAGTCTGAACACTGAGTTCAGAAACAGAAATCTTAGCGTAAATTCCCCCACCTCCTTCACGCGTCCCCTGAGCCAGCCACCCCACCCCATCTCAGCGGGGCTGGATACCCCCTGCAGCTGCTCAGGTGATGCTCTGGGTGCTGAGGAGACCCCCATGTTCTGACTGCGGAGCTAGTGCCACTGGAAACATCTTCTGGCCGCATACAAGGCTCTTGATCCACAGTGCAGGAGCATCATCCTCCTGGCAGCGTTCACTCTCACCACTACCTAGAGCAGGACTCAGTCCCTACATGTGCATCTCGGTAGGCAGGGCAGGAGCGTTGGTCTGGAGCGTGCCTTCCTCCCCGGGGAGAGCCTGCTGCTTGCCAGGCAGGGGTGATCCCCTGAGCACAGGCACTGTGCTTAGCTGGGTAAGGACTGTGCACTGGTGTACTGCTTAGCTGTCAAGTGCAAGGCTGTTAGGGTAACTGCTTGGAGAGCACCCGTGAAATTGAGGAAGTTCTGCTGAAAACGCAGCTCGTTAGGTCACCCTCTGGGGAGAAGCACAGGCAGGGAGGTCCGGAGTGCGGGAGGGAGGTGACTTCAGCACAGCTCAGCATCCTCTGAAACAACCTGACACCTTTCCTCACTCTGCCTGATTTTACCCCCCCTCCCAGTACGAGCGGTCCGTGCTTCTGGAACCTGAGACTGGGAATGAATTTGAGCTGCGGACCTGGACTCGCAACAATATCACAGAAACCCTGAACTCGCTGAAGGTGAACACGGTTGATGACATCCAGCAGATCTCGGCTGCCCTGGCGCAGTGCACGGTACGTTCCCCAGCACCACCTCCAACCTCCTGCTCTTCCAGGTGCAGCTTCGTCCTCTACAATTCTTGCTCTGCTTCCCTCTCTCCCTCTCCGGCACACGTACTGCGCAGGGAGGACAGATATTACTTGCTGCCATCATCAGGGTTTCTGTGGTGATGTCCTAAGTGGCATCAGCTCTGCCCCTTGCTGTGCCACCCATCAGGCATGGGTGAGATGATGTATTCATGTGCTGGAAGACAGCACCTGAGAACTCCGTGCTTCTTCTCTGGTACCAACCCTGGTGTGGCAGCTTGCTGGCAAGTGGGTTCCTTCGCTTGCAGATGGAGACTGTAGGAGAGGCCTCGGCAGGCTGGAGAGACGCAGGAATAAGTTGGTGAGGGAGTTGCAGAATGTCCGAGGACAGGCTGGACTCCATCAGGAGTAACACAAGTAGAGCCGGACCTGCCTGGAGCCAGGGACAGCGCCAAGGACCGACGTTCCTCCCAGCCTTAGTTCTGCCATAGGAGATGAGAAACACTGCTGTGCTCCGCTGCGGACTGGAAGCGCTGTGTTCCCCGGCCAGCTCCCACTTTCGGCTCCCAGTTTCAGCTCTCCGGTGCTGGGGCTGCTGCCTGGTGGATTTAGGAGCAGCTTTATGTGTTTTGTCAGATGGGCAAAGGGAAGAGAGCCCAGTTATATAATGTGCTCGGGGTTTGGTGGTCAGCCAGTTGGCTCTGGCAC